CGTTCTTTAGGCAAAGTTTCAGGATTTCTAACCTGGCCAGCCATTCTCGATATTTTCAGGCAGTAACTCTTAAATTAGTCTCTAGCTGTGTAAGTAGAATTCTCAGTTGTCAAACTCCTATAGTACTTGTAGCTTACTACCTCAGTAACCCCGGGGCCAGGTTGTTCAAAGAACGGATTATGCTATCTTTTGGATAAATCGCTATGCAGTGGATAAATGTTGTAATTAAAAGCTAGCTTCAGAGATAATATCTTTATCTTTGAATCGCTCCACGGACTGCCAGCATAGGTACAGTCGATTAGCCTAGGGCTTTCCAAAAGTTTGTCGGCAACTTTTAGGCAATTTCTTGTATTTCGAGCAACTTTTTTCGTTTCGAGCAACTTTATGCATTCTGAGCAATTTCTAGTTTTCTATCCATTCTGAGAAATAGGAGCAGCTTTTAGTGCTTAAATTGGCCTTCCTTCCATATCTCACAATGTTTCAGTAGACAATTTACTCAGATCCCCTCCACCCTGGGGCAGATCATAGATGCAAGACGCATGCAGCCAGGTAATTAGGTCAGTGGTTTTTTTTCACATTCGACTGATTCGAACGTCTCAGGTGAAGAATTTTTACAAGATTAACATTAATATTGATGCGTAATCTTTACTCATACATTTTTTTGGGTTTAATTGAGGACAAAGTTATTTAGCAACGTTGTTTACACCGTAAAATTGCACAAAATGCTTAGAAATCTTACCTTTGTTGTACTTTTGCATCAGACCATATAAAGGAATTAAGGGAGCAACAAAATCGTTTTTTGGGGTGTTTATTTTTTGGAACAACTTTCGTAACATAAAGCAACTTTTGACTTTTCTAAGCAATTTTTGAGCAACTTTATGAGAAATTCTGGGCAACTTTTTTGGGAAAACTCGAGCACCTTGTGGAAAGCTCTAGATTAGCCTTTTCTAAGCTTTTGATTCTAAGAAAGTAGCGCCAAATTTAAAACGGCGAGATAAAAAAGAAGGGGCGATTGCGGCTCGGTCGAGCTCCTCGCCCAAAGTTCCTCTCCTACTTTTTCTTTCCCCCTTTTCCGCACTGCTTCCCAACTAACTTAGCTGTCATGGCCCTAGATTTTTTTCTTCTTTCTACTACACCAGCGAAAATGCCGCCACTCCAGTCAAACGGAAATGGCGAAGATATGCAAGTGTATATATTTCAATTTCAGGAGAGTATTGCAGAGGAACTTTTTATTATTATGCTATTTACAATTCAGCAATAAAAGCGGGGTCACCAAACGGTTTTTGAACAGTGAGATGAAATTAAGAGTGTCTTTAACATGCTGTAATGTTACCATGGTAACCTATAATACCAGGAAGGTAACTACAACTACACTGTGGAAATGCGTGATAGCGATATTGTAACATCACTCGGTAAGGAGTGGTAAAACCGCTAAAAGGTGCCGAGCCGCCTTTTATTTCCTAAAACGATTTCCATAAGTTACTTTGCGGGATTGTATCCACAGGCAAACGCATAAGACTTGTTCGCTAGACAAAATAAAACATGAATTCGGCATTTGGTCTTATAAATGAACAGTAAATATCACACTAGAAATCGTATAATATACGAAAGTACGTGTCTCAGAGGAGAACTTCCATAAGTTTTGACAATAATGAATATTCTCTTACTTTGGAAAGAAAACGCTAACTATCTTGAGACCCAGGTTCTTGAGCTGGTGCACATGACGGTTTGTTTGCAGAATAAATTAAGTTTGGTGCGCCTATCAAGCTTATAAATACTGTTATGTCGAATCAAACTTAGTGTATGTAATTTTCTACCATGGGTATTGTTATTCATGGCTTAGTAATAAGCTTTGGGTAATCGCTCTAGCCTGAGACAAGGCTAAGACCAGGCGAAAATAGAAGCAAGCAGCTAGATCAAGACGAGTTACTCGTTGGGTGGGAGGGTGGCTGGTCGCCAACCACTTCGCTTTCTCGGCCTCGAGTAAAGTGATTGGGTGGAACACGTATAAGGAAAGAGGGGTCGTGTAAATTCTTTTATACTTTTCATTTGTACATAATATCCAGGGTACAATTACCAATGCAAATTGAGTTTCCATAAAGAACAGTGGCAATAAAGAAAGGAAGGAAAAAAGGCGAGGGCGTTTATTTTGTTTCAATGAAAGTGAAGGGATTTATGAAAGTTAAAACGAAGCTGAGGACTTATAAAGTGAATAATAGCGTAAATTTCATAAAATACGAAAGTACGTGTCCGAGGGGAAAACCTCCGGACACTGCAGGTGATAACAACATACAAACGATCGACAGAAGCTTCCCGTCTTGGCTTCCCGACCCACTCAGTCAACAAACCATTTGGATCTTAACGTGGAAAAAAATATTCAATATAAATGAAACAAACAGTAACCACGACAAAAAATTACCAAGTTAAACCTCCATAATGGAAGGCGTAATCCTGCAGCAATTAAAGAAAGCTGAAGAAGAAAAAAAAAGGGACTCATAACTTGTTTTAGGAGCTGAGTCTTACTAGCGAAGTATAGACAATGAGCCATTAAGAAAACTACAGAAACAGTTGGCAGACTAATACATAATGAGCTCAGCAGAAGGACAAACACCAGGTTTTCTTCAATATACAAGTTAGTCTCCCAAGAAAGGGATTGCATGTATATAAACCATTGCATATGCCTTTTGTCTTCAGAATTAGGTTCAGACTTGGACGTTACGATTTGGTGCTGCACCAAGGCAGCTCATAAAATACTGATGAGTAAAACAAAGACAAAAAACGAGGGATGGTGCTTTCACTAAAACTGTGAGAGAGCTATGAAAAAAAGGATCTTACATAGAAATGGCTGAGGAATGGGAATCGGCCGTACTTTACTATTCAATACTGTATTGATGTTTTCACGCACTTTATTGCTTCCAAATTAAGAAAAGCGCTAGATAGTATTCATACACTTTATTGCTTCCTAATCATTAAGAACATTAGTAAATTTACGAAACAACTACAAATGATGGCAAAGAAATCGTCAAACGAGCGGTCAGAAAACGGTCTGAGAAATGTATCAACTGTACATTGAACAGCAAACTGCATAAAGCAATAAATATTATTTACACGGTTTAGGACTGCTGAAAACATCCTATGAAGTCAATAAAATTACAAATCGAGTGTATAGAAAAACTCTAAAGTTGTGGTAGACTTAGTGTCCAAAGAAAGGTTTAGAACCGTTCTGCAAAGATTCTTTAAGCCTTAGTGTACGTTGAATCAAATAAAAGGCAGTTTGAAATTAACGTTCTTTAAGAGTTTTCGGTAAACCGAACCTCTCTGCTTTACATAAGTATCATGAGCTACTGCGCTGCTCAAAATTATTTATCTAAGGAGAGCCTTAAGTTCTTTACGATAATTTCCACTGAAAATAAAACAGATACAAGGATTTATGGCAGAATTTGCCAAAGCCATTAAAATGATGACATATTGAAGGTATCGGACGCCACAATTCGGCGATGTGATGGTGGGATGTGATGGTGGGAAGAAAAAAAAACAGTAGACGGAGATGGGCAGCCAGCACACCGCAAACCCTAACATTATAGCAATCGCCATCTTTAGCACATTTCGCTCCCTTTGCTGGCGTTGTTGTTCAGCGTTGGCTGATTGCTCGCCTGGAATCTTCTGTGACTTGAGCTTTAGATAGATGGTAATGTAAAGTATGGCTATCAACACCGACGGAATAAAAGTGACTAAAACAATATAGGACACGAGGTAATACTCATAGGATGAGGACTCTCCAAAAACTTCATTCCAATGCCGCTTACAAACCAGCTTTTCTGGATATTCAACAACTTTGTTGGCGAAGAGCTCTGGAGAGAAAATAGCCATCGCGACGATCCAAGTGGCGAGAATGAAAAACGGGCACAGCTTCGAACTGATGAGTGGAGAACGGAGAGGAAATACCACAGCTCCAAATCGATCCACTGCTATCAGAACCAGGCTCTGAATAGACACAGTAGAGGAAACTTCCGGTAAGAAGGAAACCAGCTTACATAAGGCCTGGCCAAGAGGACCACCGATCAGCCAGGAGTCTTTATAGAGCGGTTGTATCCTCCAAGGAATCAAGAAAATCGGAAACAGCAGATCTGACATGGCCATGTTTACAATGAAAAAGTTGATGGGCTTTCTCATGGTTTGCGACTTGTAGACAATTTTTCCGATGACAGTGTTCCCAGCCAACGAAAAAATGAAGATCAAGCAGTAAGCAAAGGTCACTCCAATTTTTTCTGCTGTAGGATTGCTGGAGCAGCTCGATGGCTGTGTTCTATTCATCGTTGTATTCGCGTTTTCCGACATCGCCTTTTAGTTTCTTTTTCTGCTCTTACGCTGACAAAAACGTTTTCTTCTGGTTTCTTCAGTTAGTAACGTCACTCTATTTATGCTCTAGCGAAGGTGAGATAACTGTTCGGCTTGATGCCGTCATTCGCGAGAAAAGATTGATCGATTAGGGAATTTCCATGACATGTTTAATGATTGGCAGATCTTTGTTCCAGCTGTCTGCAGTCTATTTGACAATATAATTCGGCTTTCTTATTTCGTGTAACCAAACAAAATGAAGTGATCACAAATTGCTTTTTGTTTTCATTTCATATCTTAACATCGATGAAACTGGAAGCAAACAGGGTCTCAAAATGTCACTGCTTCGACAAATGAAGTAGGGACAGCTGGGTGGATTGTTTTTCAACTCTGTTCGAAGCCTGATAAACATGCCAGTCGTTCAGTTTTCTTCTACCCTGTTATTTAATGAGGTTTAATAAATTGATCGTGGCATCAAACCGTCCATCATGACGAGTCAGTGAGAACACGGGGTGTTCAACGTAAGAACCCGAGTTTAATAATAAACAATGCCCTATGAGAAAATGCTTCTTGTCGGAGTTTAAATCACGAAACTTTAATGTCTAATATGACAGCGTAAACCGCCTAATCAAAAGGTGCCGCGCAAACAGGATTTGAATTTACCCCGGCTGCAGAGTCATGAAGTTTTTTCGTGTATCCAAGTTAGTATTTTAATAAAGAGACTCCTCCTCGTGCATTGCATATGACGTCAACAACGGCTAATAACTTCAGGATCGGATCTAAACTCCGTTTATGCCACACGAGAGTCTTCTTTAAAGGATTTGGACAGAAATGAGAGGGGAGAGAGGAGAGGGGGTTACTTTGTTTTTTTTTTCAAAATGAAGGACAAAGTGAAAAGGTATAAACATTGATGTTAAACAAAGAACTATTCAATTACTTTCCTATTGATTCTTTTTCCGAAAAACTCCACCATGCCCTACGTGTGGGATTAATGGAGCAGCCTAACTTAAGTTTTCCTTTACTGATTGTCCATAGCTTTTCACAGGCCACTAAAAATGACTTGGGCTTTATACGAGGGGCGCGGCCAAATTTCGCTCGGCCATATTTCCCTGTTCCCTTTTTCCTCATTTCACTTAACTGATTGATGAGTAGCGACTTTGGTTTAGCGTTTAGAGTTTAAAGTGCATGATAAATCCACTTTTGTTCTTAACATAAATTTCCTGATATCATGTTCATTCAAGTAGAATAAGTAGGATCTTTCGTGAACTTTACATTAATTGAGTAGTTGTTAACATTACGTTAATTTATTTTTAATGCCTTAAATATACTTTGTGGGGCTGCTATATATGTATGATTGTATCTGAGGTCTTCTCGAGCAAGGGTGTGTATGTAACACTTGAGGTTCGCTGAGTAACGTGAAAGGTTCTTTATGTCTTTCTTCTAAGCTTTTTTCTTCAGAGTAGTTTTAAATTTTCATCCATTAATATCAGAGTTTTATGTTACAGTGGGATTCCAATTTTTCGAACCTCCCGATAACTCGAACCAAAAGTCGTTTCCCTTCGTCAGTCAAACACTGTAATTTTACCATCGATTTCTCGAACTCTCCGGTTTTTCGAACCAATTTTCGTTTCCCTTGGAGGTTGGAAAAATCGGGATTCCGCTGTATATGCCAAGTGGGTATCTGAAGGGAAAACATTTGAACGTCTCACCTGATAACAAAGTGCAAATGATTGACAGAAGCTTCCTGTTCATGGTTCCCACAAAGTCAATGACCACTCAGTTAATGGATATTCTTTCGGGCAGGAATGACAATGTTTTGTTTGTCACAATGGTCTGTGAGTCTATTTAGATTCAGCAGATGTATTTGTGAGCGTTTAATTAACCGAGGGAAGAAGTGGGGATGTTTACGTTTTGACGTCTCCAAACTGTCTGTCAGAAGTAGGAATGCCAAGTAATATTCTTAGACAAGACAGCTATATCCGCTTTTTTAAACCAGAAATCAATAATAGTCATGTATAATAAGTAATAGTTATTGCACTCACTGGGACTAGAGTACAGTTCAAGGAGTAATCAAGCGCGTAATTTCAAAATTGGACGAGCGCGAAGCGCGAGGCCGATTTGAAATTAAGAGCACCATTACTCCCTGAATTGTACGACACGAAGTCCATTTACTAATTAATCCTATTTATAACAAATTTAAGAAAATAGGTAAGTCTTTTGAGAACTGCTTTAGAGCGAAAAAATTAGTAGCGCTTTCCATAAGTTTAAAAACTGTAGGAAGCCATTAAAGCGCGCGTAACTGACGTGCAAATTACCTGGGTATCCAATTACAGGTATCCAATTACAAAAAGTTGTAATCTAATACCCGTAATATGACAGCTACGTGATCGCGCGCCGACTACGTAACAAATAGGTGCGCGGAGAACCAATCACGATCGAATATATTGGTATGCTAATTATTATATAGCTATTATTTAGCGCATGGGATGTGCTTAGCGCTCTTTTTGACCACACAGTCAGGCCCCGTTTACACGGGTCCGGACAAAAACTTGCATGTTTCCACAATGCCTTTACGCGGGACCGGCGGAACTGGACGAATTTGTGCAAGTGTGCAAGTTTGGGACCTGAAAAAAGCGGGTCAACTGTTTCACCGGCACGGTTCCATATTGCATACGGACTCGTGTAAACACCCGAACCTTGCAACTTTTTCTCAGATAGCGCGGTTAAGGCCTGGAATCTGGTTATGTTATGCCTGGTTCCTTAGCAAAAATGAAACATTCGGCTACATTTTATTCCTGGTTTGCTACATTTTGTTAAATTTAAGACAAAAGAAACAAACAAAAGCAGATTACAGATTTGAGGAGACGAGCGGCCGCAGTATACATCGCTATTTTAGCCGGATTAGCAGGGCTTTTGCAGTACACTTTGCTGTAAATGGCTATTGTTTCCGATATTCATCGATCAAAGCAAACTACACGTTTGAATTTCTCGGTGAGCATGTACAGCTTACGAAGCAGCCAACCGAGGGAAAAGTCCTAGACTATAACTACATGTAGCAACAAATTAATTTCTTCATCAGACCATGTAAAGTTTTTCTCCGCCGCGACATTTGATTTGCCGCGTATTGCATCAGCTGCAACATGATTGGCTTAAAACATTAGCGATAACCAATCATAACAGAGACGTAAAAAAGCCATTCAAATGCCGTGACTGTTCTAAAATTTGCATGGATCCGTCTTAACACCACTACAATCTGTAACAGAATTTGTACGGATCCATGTAAACAGGCAGTCCAGGAACAGAATTCGTCGGTGCAAAACTTTGTCAGCACCCGCGTAAACGGGGCCTTAGATTCAGATTCAGTTCTGCTATCATTTTATTTCCACTGAGCGGGTCTCTCACGCTAGGCTGATTGGCTACCGTTAAAAACGATAGCCATTCAGCTGGGGCCTTGGGTTTGTTAAACCATAGTAGGTGGAATACAGAAAATGTGTTATGAATGATCGTGTTTTCAAGAGTGACAGGGAAAACATTGCCCAAGATTTTACAGGGGGTATTCCTCAAAACGTTGGGTGGTGGAGAGCCGCCCAGGGTTTGATTGACAGCTTTATTGGCGGGTCTAAATGATGATTTTCGTTTAGGCTAAGAAGTTCAAGGTAGAATTCTGATTGCTGGTGAAATTCGAAGGAAAAAGTTGTAATGATTTTGTTTGGGAGTGAGCTTGTAACAAGAAAATTATCAAAGTGAAGAATGATCATCGCAGTAAATTTTCCAATTTAAACACTTGGAAAGAAGAAGCCTGAAAAAAATCAGGGCTTTAACGGGATTCGAACCCGTGACCTCCGCGAATACCGGTGCGATGCTCTACCAACTGAGCTATGAATCCACACATTGGGAACGAGGTCAATTAATTGAGTTCATATCTTCCCGTGAGGAGAGACATGATGTAAAGTATGTATGAAATAATTCATATTTGAACTGCGGTTGTAGATGAAAGTGAAGAATGATCATCGCAGTTCAGGACGACCTCTGAAGTCAGTGTCCCCATTTATGTTTCTCGTAAGTTCGTCGGTCACTCCTTGGCGAGAATCTGTTCGTGTACATGGGACCAGCACTGGGCTGATGTAAATTTATCGTAGGCACATCATCGGTACCGTTAACATTGCTGGGCCTGTCGTAAGTCGACGGAGGAATCCTTCGAAATGCTTGAAAAATTTAAAACTTCCTATTGTTAGACAGAAGAAAAGTAAAGCTCTTATGCTAAGTTTACCCCGAGTTCTAGTTTTGTAAATTGTTTCAATGCGAATACCGAGAACTCCAGATATTTTTTGCATATTTAATGAGGCACAAAGGTATATTTTCGTTTTTTGCGAATTTCTCGAAGACTTTAAGTTCTAAGAAAATCGGAATAATGGCTCCCTAAAAGCGTTCTTTAGGCAAAGTTTCAGGATTTCTAACCTGGCCAGCCATTCTCGATATTTTCAGGCAGTAACTCTTAAATTAGTCTCTAGCTGTGTAAGTAGAATTCTCAGTTGTCAAACTCCTATAGTACTTGTAGCTTACTACCTCAGTAACCCCGGGGCCAGGTTGTTCAAAGAACGGATTATGCTATCTTTTGGATAAATCGCTATGCAGTGGATAAATGTTGTAATTAAAAGCTAGCTTCAGAGATAATATCTTTATCTTTGAATCGCTCCACGGACTGCCAGCATAGGTACAGTCGATTAGCCTAGGGCTTTCCAAAAGTTTGTCGGCAACTTTTAGGCAATTTCTTGTATTTCGAGCAACTTTTTTCGTTTCGAGCAACTTTATGCATTCTGAGCAATTTCTAGTTTTCTATCCATTCTGAGAAATAGGAGCAGCTTTTAGTGCTTAAATTGGCCTTCCTTCCATATCTCACAATGTTTCAGTAGACAATTTACTCAGATCCCCTCCACCCTGGGGCAGATCATAGATGCAAGACGCATGCAGCCAGGTAATTAGGTCAGTGGTTTTTTTTCACATTCGACTGATTCGAACGTCTCAGGTGAAGAATTTTTACAAGATTAACATTAATATTGATGCGTAATCTTTACTCATACATTTTTTTGGGTTTAATTGAGGACAAAGTTATTTAGCAACGTTGTTTACACCGTAAAATTGCACAAAATGCTTAGAAATCTTACCTTTGTTGTACTTTTGCATCAGACCATATAAAGGAATTAAGGGAGCAACAAAATCGTTTTTTGGGGTGTTTATTTTTTGGNGAAGAAGTGGGGATGTTTACGTTTTGACGTCTCCAAACTGTCTGTCAGAAGTAGGAATGCCAAGTAATATTCTTAGACAAGACAGCTATATCCGCTTTTTTAAACCAGAAATCAATAATAGTCATGTATAATAAGTAATAGTTATTGCACTCACTGGGACTAGAGTACAGTTCAAGGAGTAATCAAGCGCGTAATTTCAAAATTGGACGAGCGCGAAGCGCGAGGCCGATTTGAAATTAAGAGCACCATTACTCCCTGAATTGTACGACACGAAGTCCATTTACTAATTAATCCTATTTATAACAAATTTAAGAAAATAGGTAAGTCTTTTGAGAACTGCTTTAGAGCGAAAAAATTAGTAGCGCTTTCCATAAGTTTAAAAACTGTAGGAAGCCATTAAAGCGCGCGTAACTGACGTGCAAATTACCTGGGTATCCAATTACAGGTATCCAATTACAAAAAGTTGTAATCTAATACCCGTAATATGACAGCTACGTGATCGCGCGCCGACTACGTAACAAATAGGTGCGCGGAGAACCAATCACGATCGAATATATTGGTATGCTAATTATTATATAGCTATTATTTAGCGCATGGGATGTGCTTAGCGCTCTTTTTGACCACACAGTCAGGCCCCGTTTACACGGGTCCGGACAAAAACTTGCATGTTTCCACAATGCCTTTACGCGGGACCGGCGGAACTGGACGAATTTGTGCAAGTGTGCAAGTTTGGGACCTGAAAAAAGCGGGTCAACTGTTTCACCGGCACGGTTCCATATTGCATACGGACTCGTGTAAACACCCGAACCTTGCAACTTTTTCTCAGATAGCGCGGTTAAGGCCTGGAATCTGGTTATGTTATGCCTGGTTCCTTAGCAAAAATGAAACATTCGGCTACATTTTATTCCTGGTTTGCTACATTTTGTTAAATTTAAGACAAAAGAAACAAACAAAAGCAGATTACAGATTTGAGGAGACGAGCGGCCGCAGTATACATCGCTATTTTAGCCGGATTAGCAGGGCTTTTGCAGTACACTTTGCTGTAAATGGCTATTGTTTCCGATATTCATCGATCAAAGCAAACTACACGTTTGAATTTCTCGGTGAGCATGTACAGCTTACGAAGCAGCCAACCGAGGGAAAAGTCCTAGACTATAACTACATGTAGCAACAAATTAATTTCTTCATCAGACCATGTAAAGTTTTTCTCCGCCGCGACATTTGATTTGCCGCGTATTGCATCAGCTGCAACATGATTGGCTTAAAACATTAGCGATAACCAATCATAACAGAGACGTAAAAAAGCCATTCAAATGC